TCGTCGGCCTCGCTCTCCACGCCCCCGCTCGCTATCCCCGGACCGGCGCTCGTCGTCACCCGATATAGGTGACAAACGCCCTCGGACCCCTTCGGAGGACGTGGACGAGCTGCGATCGACCCAATCACCACGCATTAACACCTCTGGTCAGCGTCCGAGAGCCAAGGACTTGGACGACCGCACCCGGGAGTATGTCATGTACGCGATCGATATCTATCGCTGCAACATCAGCGCGTTGCAAGGTTTTCCCGATGGCCCCACTGAAACTAGAATGACCAAGGATGCGTGGTCACTCACCTGCAACGACTTGGGAGAGAAGCTTCCTTTGACACCGGCGATAGCTAAATTGGTAAGCTGACTTGCACCACCAGTCGTTCTTGGCTGATTGAATCCTTGCGGCAGATCTCCAGCCGAGGGCCCCAGCTGCGCGGGGAGCTGAAGACGAAGGTCAAACCGATCGTGAATCTCGTGTACGGCTTCAAGACTGGTCAAAACAAGAAGACCATCGCCTTCAATCGGAAGCTCGCTGAAGATCTCAAGGAAGGTTCCGCCTTCGCGTTCAGGGTATGTGTCCACGGGCAACGGTTACGTTACGTTACACTAACATGTCGCAGAACGTCAAGGAGAAGAAGGGCTTGTACAAGAACCCAATTTTCCAAATGGTGTTCAATGCCATGTGGTTCGCGAACCGCAAAGACGAAGGCGTAACACATCCTGAGCTCTTCAATCCGGCGCCGGTGCCAGCATTTGCTCTCACCCTAGCTGCGGTACGCATCAACACTGCCTATCTATTTCCTTTACTCACACAATTTAGGTCGAGAACAGTATTGATGAACATCTCACGGGCATCAGGATGGATGTCCCCTTCACCGCGAACGAGTACCGCCGGGTCTATGAAAGCCATCTCACGGCGTTAGAACAGTTTGAGACTCACACGGAGAAGTACCAGATCTTGGACAAGATCCTGACTCGGATACATGACGTTGGCCGGTACGTATCCTTCTGGAATCTACGTACAAGGCTTCTCTGACTCATCTTTTCAGTTTTCACTCCGGGGCGCAGCCTATTACGGCGACCACCACGGCCACTTTCAGCGCCGAAGTCCTCGACGCGGCCATCAAAGAGTACGAGGATGCAAACACCACGGAGGATGACACCGACGCGGAAGTTTGAGGCACCAATGTAGTCGTACCTTGACCTAAATATAATTTATTTTCCCCTTTTTTGGCTGTGAATCTGCGGAACTACCAAACGCTAAGAAGTGTTTTAGTGCTATGTATGGCTACGTAGGCTACAAGGCTATGGAACTACCATGCTATATATACACGGCGCGCAGCTACAGTGACTATATATAGCTACAAATCTTGCGCAGAGAGCTACAACGTCCTATATAACAGGGGGTTCGCTACAGCACTACACGACCTATGCTAACTACATACTGCTCCATAGACTGTCAGTTTTTTCCTGATGAAGCTGCCGGCGGTGCGCTGATTTGGTGGCTCTCGGTCTCAGACAAGGAGGAGCCTTCAACCAGGCTAAAAAACACGGTCTCCGCTAAACGAAGAAGGTGCAAGAGAAGACGAAGAGGAACAAACACTGTACTACAAATGCACAACATATGCACCGCCTTCGGAAGTTGCCAATTGAACACGTGCCAGTGCGTCTCCTTTGTTGCTGACAGTGACTGTCACTCACACTTGGCCTACAACCTTGCACTCTTCCAATTATCTTGATAAAAAGCCACTCGCTACTCCGTTGTCATATAGATTGGATCCTTCATCTGCAAAATCGTTTTGGGTGGATAGAACCACGACAGGCAAATAGATCCCCGGTAACGCAATAGAGCGGCATAGATACCGCTTAGGGCCGCTTAGAGCATGGCCATCTACGGGGCACCTGGCCTCTATGCCAACCCCTCGCTTGAACATCGGTCCTCTCAGAGTCTCACTGGCTCTATACTGCTCTATACATATGTGAGTCTACGGAGTTTTTTGAAGGAAAGTCGTAGAACACCAGAGTCCGTTTGCGGATTGTGAGTCGAATTCAGTGAGAGAACGATTGAGTCGAGCAAATCCGCGTGTTAAACGAAGCTACCTACTCGGTTTACATATAAGACTATTTATACCTAACTACGAGACCCTGCGGGTCCGCTTACATGACTTAGAACTACTATACAAACAATAAGAACTGGGGGCATAGTGCCTACGCACCGCGGCACAGTATTGCGGACTCCGGGCGTAGCTGAACACAGTTGCCGAATCCGTGCCGAGAGACGTGTGTGATCCTTACAACATACTACCCCCATCGTCACCTACACTATCACCCGGGGGCCGCAGCCCACTCCTTTTAAGCCGGCTGACTTCAAGGTTGGCATCATTCCTCCTTTTCCCCTTCCCCCGGCATTATCTACTGTTTTGTGTGCAAGTCCCGCAAGAAAAGACATCTGTCTGTGCTCGATCCTGCAACTGTATCTGGCCCACCTTAAGATGCAATTGCCTTTCTCACTATTCCACTTGTCAATCTCTGGTGAATGTTTGCTATCACTGAGTAGTGGATTATTGTCTACACTGTAAACACATTATTATGAATTTATTTGCTTTTTCCCAACTTTCTCCCATTTTTTCCCGCCACATCGGCGGTACAGTCGCAAACCGGGAAGCGCAATACACGGCGTAGAGCAACACTAACAAACAAACGCCTCCTTACTCTTTGACGACTGCCACCTTCACATTCCTGGACGTGCACCCCCGTTTTCGAGGTCGCCGAGTTCGATGAGACACATATTGGACCTCAATTCTCAGTCCCTGGTGCAAAAATCCCCATGCAATGGCGAAAATGGCCAAATCTCGAAGGAGACGACATTTGGTGGGGCGTTGGTGGATGCGGTGCAAGTACAGGTCACAATACCGGTTTTTCCAAGAGACTATTCTATTCTACACTACTCCATGTCATCTAGGACTACTTTATGGACAGCTATAGGTTCAAACGAGCCGGCTTCACGATCTTTCGTTTTGGTCGGCCCGAGGTACCTTCATCTGCAACATCTTCGGCCTTCCTCGTCTTGCTCGGCGGCGACCTTGCATTGCCCCTTGGAGCCCACTGGCCTTGGCATGGGGTGCTAGATGGTTGTTGATGTTGAGTGGCTCGGTTAGGGCAGTTGTTTGCGAGTGTTGCTCTTCCACGTGCATGGGCCAAAACGGGTCGACTCTATCTTTTGCCCTCGTATGCGCTAAAAACAAATGATTTCTGCACAACTCCTTCGCTGGATCAGTAGAATGGATCACTCTGATTGACGCTGACACAAAGAATCACGAAAACTAGTCTGTTTTCATCTCAAACTTTGCCAAATGCTCTGACCGTTGCGCTTCGCGGTTTGTGACTGTATCGTAAAATTGATGCCATCTTCATCGGCTGCGATGTTGGCGCTCGGTTAGTAAAACATGCTCTATATGGCTCTAAGTGGCTCTAAACCGTGTCTAACGCTCTAACGCTCTATTCTCCACGGGCCTCTATATGTAGGGTACCTTGCTGCGGGTCTACGGGTCTAACACGCTCTATATGGTTGTGCCTAGCAGGTGGATTTTGCAGATGTTCCACTGCTGTCACCAAAGTCCTGGACTTTCTCTGGTCATCGCTGGAAATTGATGGCTGCGAGTCCCTCCAGGCCCGGCATGCAGCAGATCGAGGATCGCATGTATGCGCCAGGCGGACGGATGGAGGGAGCGTACTTCGGACCAATTCGTAACAATGCCGCTGGCGATATGGTTGAAAGCGGAGCAGGCGTAGACGGTGATTATATATATAAAAGTGCTGTAGTTTAGAGGTGGTGCGTATTGTATAAAACACTCTGATTAGAGGTGGGTTCTTATATATATCTTAGAGGCGCGCACGTGCCTGACATCACCTTCCTAATCCGGTAGCCTCCTCCACGGCGGTGTCGACTCCCACCCTGCGCCAGGCGCGTGGCTGTGTCCCCCACAGAGCGCGCCAGCGTTGATGATGGTGTTGACGTGTTGATACATGTTTGTACCTCACGCTTCCTTCCTTCCCCTACACCGTCCCTGCCCTCCTACGGCATGCATTGGTCCAGCGCGTTAGCTGCCCTCACGCCCCGTTCGCCCGCCATTGCGCTTCCCGCCGCCCCGCCGCTTGCCACCCCGCGCCCGCTCCGCTTCCCCGGTGCGGCTGCTACTGGACCAGCGCCTTGCCATGGCACATACCTTGTGCCTACCCTGCGCTTTAGCACCCCGTGACCCCCGTTCGCCCGCTATTCCGATTCCCGCCGCCCCGGCACTTGCTGCCCCGCGCCCGCCCCGCTTCCCCGGTGTGGCTGCTACTAGACCAGCGCCTTGCCACGGTACATACCTTGCGCCTCACCTGCGCTTTAGGACCCCATGGCCCCCGTTCGCCTGCTATTCCGATTCCTGCCGCCCCGGCACTTGCTGCCCCGCGCCCACCCTGCTTCCCCGGTGCGGCTGGTACTGGACCCACACCTTCCTCTGTGACGTACCTTACATCTCCTCTGCGCTTTAGCGCTCCGCACCCTCCATTCACCCGCTATTCCGATTTCTGCAGCCCTGGCGCTTGCTTCCCTGCACCCGCCCCGCTTTCCCAGTACGGCTGGTACTGGACCCACACCTTCCTCCGTAACGCACCTTACGCCTCCCTGTGTGTTAGCGCTCAGCACCCCCGGTTCGCCCGCTATTCCGATTTCCACCGTCCCAGAGCATGCTGCCCCGCACCCGCCCCGCTTCCCTAGTGTGGCTGTTACTGTACCCTCGCCTTCCCATGGCATTAACCTTGAATATTCCGACCGCTTTCGTTTCCACAGCTACAACCACGTACATTGTACCCGCTTAAGAATATAATTACCTAATTTAATGCTTTACAAAAAATAAAATGATCACAATGACCAGAATAATCGTTTTTGCTACGTGTCCGAGCACCACAATCATAAGGGAGAAAATAGAATCCAAAATCATCAAGAAAGAAGCCCACGACCCCAGCTGGATTCGAACCAGCGCCACCGGTGGAAATATGTTGATTTTCGAGAGGAATGTTAAACCGATGCACCACCAACTATGCATGTGTCTTACCAGAAAGCCTTGGACCGGCGTGGATACCCTCCTCAAATATTTCAAATCAAAAAAAGAAATCAAAAAACCAACTTTACAATTGATCTCTGCGAGATTCGAACCCGCAACCATCTGCTTATAATTGTGCTTTCAGTTACCTATAATTTTCAGGGCTCTACCGTTAAGCTAGACGGCCGTTTATAACTTTCATCCCCCTTGGACTCACCTTCGCATCTTGCTTTCGACACGACAAGATTTTTTTTTTTTTTTCACAAGTCCACACATCCAACATCGACTCCGTACATTCTACCCGCTGGTTGAGCAGCGACTGCTCCGATGGAGCAGCAATCCTCCGTCCGTTGAAGGACCCCTCACACCCACCCCAATCCCGTCCTAAGTCGTTGTATCCTTTCTAGGCCTGCCCCTGCAATAATCAGCGCCAAGTCCAAGCTTACATCACGACTGACAATCACCTTTTCTTAGCCAGCGGCATCTCTGCCTCCTCGGGCACCCTCCTCTTCTTCGAACCTGTTGCCGACCTCGTGAGCAGCGCCGCCTCAGACGCCGCATGGGGATTCGGCCTCGTTGCCGCTTTCTTCGCCCGCATCGTTTTAATCGGATTCGGTGGTGCCACGCTACCGTCAGGCATGCAAGCTGGCTTGCGAGTACGCGCCATCACGATTGTGGGTGTCTCCCCATTTGGGTTGGGAAGTTCCCAGTAGCCCCTTGCCACCGCCTGCGCATTGACCTCCGTCTCTTTCGCCGCCTGCTTCGCCGCCTCCACCTCTTTCTTCCTCGCCTCCACCTCCCTGTTAAAACGCATCATTCCACCATTGCCTATCCGATAAATCAAAACTGGCTCGCCACCAGTTTCCTCATCGACATGGTTCGTGGTATCTAGCAGCGCGCCAGACTCGGCGATCTTGCGCGGGCGTCCCCTCCCCCTTTTCATCTGCGGCCCACGGTCTCCTATATCGAGCCCCTCCTCCGCCTCCACCTCAATCAGTGGCTCGCCCGCCACTCCCCCGCGCCCACGCCCCCGCCCCCGCCCACGCCCCCGCCCACCCCCGCGCCCCCTTCCGCGCGATACACTCGGTGCGAGCGGGGCATTGCTCATGGGACGCGACACTGGGAAGTTGTCAGGTGTTAGAGTCGCGAGACCTCCCGGTGGGCTTGGCACCATTGACGCGATGCGCGGCGGCGTGCCAAGACACGTAGCCGACGTTGATGCAACATGCGGTGGCGTCGTCATGAGGGCCGGCAATGGTGTTGCAATGGCAGTCGGGGCTGTGGCGACATGAGACCCCAAGATCACTGGGGTGGCGGGAGGCACAATTGGGGCATTCAGGGGCTTCGGAGTCGTGACCACCGGCAGCGTTGTGGACGGAGCACTGGCGGGACGCGCAATTGGGGTGTTCAGCGTCCTCGGGCTCGCGGTCCATGGCGGTGGAGTCATGGCATAAGAGGAGGTCGTCGTGGCAATCGGTGTGGCAGCTGTCACCGCCGTTTGCACGATTCGCAAAGGTGAAGGTGTCCCCACACTCGCAGTATGCCGGACCCCAGCCTGCGGCGACGCACACGAAGCTAGCGACGGAGTGGATGGTAAAGAGGTCGAGGTAACTGGCGATACATGTAGACGCTGTGTAGGAGTGCCCGCTGAAGAGGAGAACACGAAGTTTGAGACGAAGTCGGCCAACTGCGTCTGTGCAGGAGACTCGGATGAAAGTGGAGTGAGTTGGAAAGAGGACGCTGCGTCGTCTGGCACCTCGTCTGACATCGGGAAAGATCCATACGCCGGCGTGAATGAGAGCAGCTCGGCGCTTGAGAACGTGCTGGCCGATCCAGCGGATGCGGGGGCGTATTGAGCTCCTTTGTATGCGGGTCGTGGGGAAGGATGGACAATCAAGTCGGGCGGTGCAGTCGGCAGGACCAGCGAGGCATCGATGGCATCCGCTCCAAAGCCGATGTCGGCCGCTGCATGCTCCCAGTCGAAGTTATCAAAGTCGCCAAGAGGGTCGTCGTCCGCGTTGCCGGTGAGCCCATCTTGGCTATCGTCGCTGAGGGGACCCTCTTGACCTGCGCTGGAAGGACCCGCTGCTGGTATCGCGCTCTCGGCTGCTACTGTCGCAGGTTTCCGCTTGCGCGGGGGACGTGAGCGCTTGGCCGGTGGTGGGTGCGCAGGTTCCCCCGGTAGCGTCGTGCCTTCAGCAGCTGTGGCGTCATCCTCTCCGCTGCCTGGAGGCTGCACAGTGCGCTCCGTCATAGTCTTGTGGTCTATGCCCACACGAGTTAATCACCCATCCGTACCGCCCACGGAGGGAGGACGCACCGAAAACCCTCCTCCCAAATGCGCCCAGCGGTTCCATAACTACATGGTCCCACTCAGGGAACGATTGCTCGAAGGTGTTGCCAGCAGGTGTGACGCCAATACAGTAGCTGCAATAAGTGCCGAATCAAGAAATTAGCGCCTACAGCCATGGGCAGACGCATTTGGACTTACGACTGCGTTCCAATTTTCCCTTTCTGAGTCGGCACTGGGCGAGTCATCACGGTAGCACCTACCCAACCCGTCACCTGCTCCAGCGCGGTGTGCACCTCCCGCAGCATTTGGCCCATTTTGTTAATGCCCCTACATTCCGTCAATAAACGCTTCATGGCTATCTCAAAAGCACTTACGCTTGGTACTGCGCCCCTGAGCTCTTCCCAGCGACGTCTTCTCTATCTTTAGCCTCCTGGGTGTCGAACATCGTCTGCACCTCGGCCTTTTCCTCCTCCGTCGCCTTGTCAAATTGTTGGTCCGCAATTCTCTGCCGCATCTTCATCTGCGCAGAACGCCCAGCCTCGATCCTCGCTCGGTGCTCCTCCGCCGTTTCTCCATCCCGGTCGACTCCCATACACTCGTAGAAACCCGCCGCCTGCAGTGCTTCCTCCATCTGAGGGCGATGCATTCACTGCCAAATCTCCCTGCATTGGAACTTTCGCCCTCGCTTCGGGTGCAAATTCAGGAGCAGTTCCTTCAGGCCAGAGCCACTGGAACCCTCGCCCGTCGCACTACCCTGCGCGAGGCATTTGTTCTTCGCCGATTTGTTATTGAACCAGTTGTGGATGATCTATAAATCAATGCGGTCAGCACAGCGCATAATTTCCATCTCCAGTCGCACTTACTCCTCCCATTTCAGCCTGAGCTTTGCCAACTGCCACCTTGTCCGCGTCAGAAATGCCGGCGTCTTCAATCATGACCCCCCCTGTGGTCATCAGCAGCAGATTCAAGCCAGGCTCCACTGGCCATCGCTCGAACCAGCCTCGTTTGACCTTGACCCAAAACGGCGGCAGGGTCTTCAACGCCTGCTTCATCTCGAATTCGCCATAATGAGCCTCAAGGTATTCCAGCTGCTCTGCCGGAAGTTGACTTTTTCGCCCCCTCGGCATGACCTTGGACGCGACAGAGCTGGAGCACACAACGGGACGCGAGGACAGCAGGAAAAACTGGACAAGAGCGCAAGTGCGAGTTGGTATCAATTCAGATAGTGCCCACTCGTCAATTCCGACCTCAAGAGAATTTACTTTGTGACGAAATACACTACTTTGGCTTCAAAACCGAAGCGTAGGTCCCTTACTCACCACCAAATCATCCACTTTTTTCTCTCAACGTTTTACATTTTTCCTACAGAAATTGGAAACTTACCCGAACCACGATCTGCTCGATCTGGACTACATAATCTCCCTCCAGGTTCTATCAGAAGCGCTAGCGACCACATGATTGTGCATCGTGCATCGTGGAATGCATCGTGGAATCGCCCGAATCGGTCCGCCTTTTATGTCTCATCCGGGTCATCATTCACATTAAAGATCTCGCCACATAGATAGGCCTGCCGTTTCTTTCCTCATCAACGTCCTTCCTCCCGCCATGACCTCTGTCGAACTCTCGGCGACCACCGCCCCCACCCCTGCCCAAGAGCTGGAAGCGTTGGTCGCCCTCGTGGCTCAGCTCTCCGCAGCCTCCCTGGAGGCCACACGCCTCTCGGTGGAGGTGCAAGGTAAGCCGACTGCGCTCTTTCATTTCCCCCCCCACTCACGTTTCTTTAGCCAAGCTCCCTGCCATCGCTGCCAAACTCGCCGCGTCCGACGCCAACGCCACGCCTGGTTCCAGCACTGCTGTCGACGCCGCACCTTTGTTTGTTCACTGCACCCCAAAAACTCCAGGCGAGCTTCAAGATGCATTCCCCCCCGGATCCGGCGAAATTTGGTATGTGGTGATCATCGGCCGGGAGCCTGGCATGTACCGCACCTCGTAAGTTTTTCACCGCTCTATTTTCCTCTGGTCTCACGCTCCCTCAGAACCGAGGCAAATGACCAGTGCAACGGCGTCCCCAACCAGTTCAAAGAAAAGAGGAAGAGCCGGCGCGAGGCGCTTGCATGGTACGCTGAATGCTACTTCCACCCCAGTGGTGACGGCGTTCAGAAGTGGGTCGAGGTCTAGCTACTGTATTTGTATTTACCTTTGAATATAATCCCTCAAAGTGGGAATATTATTGTTTTGCGCCCGTTTTTTAATATAATAACTTGCCCAAAAATCACTAGCTACTGCTATCATCGTTGATCTAGATGTTTATCACATTGTTGCGATGTAGACATAATATTAATACGCGACAACATGCGGCCCGAATGATAAGCGACTGAAGCGACGGATTAGCAGCGTGGGGCCCGAAACAGAGCGTCATCCAAGCTCTCCATCTTTCGCAGCGCTGGGCTTGGGCTATCGAGGATGGGGCTTGGAAAGCGAAGGCGTCTTCTGGTATTCCCAGCGCCGGACGCTGCCGAGCCCTTGAAGGAAAATCCAGTTCGTCTTGGAGTTTGATGGGCTGCGACTTCGGTAATTGTGCTAAAACATTAAAGTTAGCTCCGTATGCACACAGATCGCATGAAACGTACCGCAAGCCCAGTTCCTCATCTGACTCCTCATCAGCATCGTCATCGCTGTCGGCCTCCGCATTTTCACCTGCGATTTCCCGCAT